ATTTGTTAGATCACTGAGCAATACCGGCGATTTCAGTTGCCATAATTTGCCAGTCTCCTTGACTTAATAGTTGTAGTTGGTTCACTGCATCGTTCGACGATGTGGAAAATCTTGAAATTCTATGGGATACTCGCGCATACTATTTATGTTTTGGAAGAGTTGTATGTGGGAACCATATCAGCGGTCAAAATTGAAAGAGTGTTTTCTTAGTGGTTTTCTACTGACTGTGAAGTTCATCAGGGAGACGTTCCTTCGTCTTTGCTATTCAACATTGTTTTCGACTTTCTTTTCCGAAACACGGCTGATCCTGTGCGAGACGAAGCTCTCAGTATCGAGGGAAGGCGCAGTTGAAGATACCCAGCTAGATATTTGTACTGACCTGGAGTACCTCTAACGAGTAGTAGGTAGAGCGGTCTTCGGCACCTGCGGTTTCAGCATGGAGGACCTGCAAATTTCTCCTTTTCCTTATCTCTCGGAAGTCAAACGTTATTTGAAACCCATCGTACATGGCTGATCCATAAGTGAAACAGAGAGAAAATGCCATTAAGCATGTCGGTCAATCTGAGTATTTTTGCTGTATCAACTTCAGCGATGGCACCATCAAATTAGAGGTAAAAATAAGAGGATCGTCGTCACCAGTGCTTTTGCAGTCTGTTCACTTTCAATATTTGAGCTGAGAAGGAAGTAACTTTTTACACCTAAATCCGCCTGTAACTTGCCTCTTTTAGGTCGTTGTTGTTGTACGGCGTTGAAACGTTTGTTCTAAAGGAGAAACAAGAACGTTAAATGTAGAACTGCATGATGCGTCTTTGCCTTCAACGCAAAGAAAGATTCTGTCCTATTTCGCGCACAGGTTTCCTTCGCTGATGCGGAGATTAAGAGTAGCAGTTTGGTTCTTTTAGACAGAGTGTTTAAGCGTGTTTCCTGCAGTCTATGGGCATCTGCTGTGGGGCTTTAACACGTCTGATGTGATTCCGAAGGTCATTATGCAATATGAAGTAAATTTTAGAGCTCCGTGCTTTCTGAGAGTCACTGTTCTTTCTACGATATAGCAACGGGTGCCTTATAGTAAAAGTACTGCAGAACCGCTATTACGGAGGGCATCACAAACCAAAGAGTTTCTACTTGTACAAACAGCCCAGTGTTTTATCAGGATAAACACACGCACCCATATCTGGTGAAAGCTCATGATCGAATATGAAGGCAAATAATACGATAGAACGTAGAAAAGAAGCTTATGTCAGAAAAGTATATTAGGCTTATCCACGACATGTATGGTGGAGTGATGAACGTTAGAAATACGTGCGATGAGACAGAAGAACTCCCTCCGCCGATGGTGTCCATCATGGTGTATCACCGAGTTCAGTGTGTTCTCGATGGCGGCAGGCGCGCTAAATAAAGTTCGCGGCATCGTAGATCATCGATTTCTCCTTCGATATATATCGGAGGTGTTTGGAGCATGGGGAGAAGAGCTTTCTTCTAAATCCTGAGATACTGCAAAATTTATGGTTAAGCGGTAAAAGTGATTTCTTTCATTTATTAAATCTCTCATGGTTTAACTGTAGCTACAATGCGAAAGATTCTGTTACAAAATTATCCATTTATCCATTTATTTAAACATGGAATGTCTTGACATGGTTTACTCGAAGGTGGATTCATTCGATGTAGACAGCCTGGGAACGAGTAGTTAGTCGATTACTTGCGAACTGTTAGTACAACGTTATTTTCGAGATGTGCACTTCCAGAGCTTGCGGAACTTGTGGTGGTGTATCTTCTTGCGCTGCAGTACGCCGTCATCTACCTGGTAGTTGACTCTTGGTCGACACAGTCGACACAAGATCAATCAGGAAAAAATGAACAGATAAATGAAGATAGTATTTAAA